TCGGAATTGGCTGAATACATGACTCGCACAGGACAGCAGATAGATTGTTCGAATGCCAAACCCTTAGCTGAATATTGAGTGAAAGATTAAGGAAAATATTTAATTCAACAGAAAAGCCAACACCTTGGATAGAAGCAGTGAGTGTAGGAAGTTAAGCGCAAACTGTTTGTGGCTGTTGTATAGGTTTAGGGAGAGAGAGAGAGAGGAGGGGAAATGAGAAGTAACATCAAGCAAGAGGAGGAGGCTTGATTAGGCTGGAATTTGGTTTTGACTCTCACATCACACTCATTTCAAGAGTAATGTATTAACACAACACTTGTGCAATGGGACGCAGTAACATGCGGTACCATTGCAGAATCAAAGGCATACGTGTTTTAGAGAAAGATGCAACTGTTCGGTTTTGTATTGCACCCAATTCATGCTTCATCTGTAGCCACTTAACTTATGAGAAAGTATAGAGGCAAATCATAGGACATCCAACCAAGCTTGAGATGTATAAATGGACCAATTTGGAATAAAGGAAGGAAGTAGGCTTGAAGCTGGCTACCTTTCTTTCCTTCGGGTTTTTAGTGAATTATCCTTAAGCATGTTGTCCTGCCCTAATGATGTCCGTTACTTGACGGACGAAAGCTCAGCAAGGATTCATCGAGGTCGAATTGTGGTGCGCCAAGGACCTATTCGCACAAATCTACAACCACACCTCCAAGACAACCCCCACCACAACCTCTGATGGAACCAACTTACGAATTCCTTCCACTCGCCTCTTCAAACGAAATGAAAGGTACTCCAGCAGTATGTAGCATGTTTGTGCAATTCATTTACCGAGCTGCCTTCTGATTGATTCCAGCGTTTACATAAGTATCCACGTTATTATATTTTGATGCTACTTTTGTTGGAGTTTCACCGTCCCAAACACAGACCGCCTTCGAATACATAAATATAGAGCAGTCTGATTATACCTATAGACACTTGCTTAAGTTTCATTATCCAGGTTAGGCCAGTAATAATTGCTTGTCTGAAAGTGAAATTCTCTTCTCAACCTGCCTTTCTTATTCTCCACCTCTCTTCCCCGTAACTATTTCCGGGATTCCTCTGTCAGGACTGTTGCATCGAGTGGATGCCGAGCGTCTTCTCGGTGGCCATGCCTCTGCCAGTCCGAACACCTATCTCGTCCGTGTCAGCGACTCTCATCCAGGCTACCTTATCTCACACAAGAGCCCTCTTGCCTGTAGACACTTTCGTGTTGGTCTTCACTTTAATTCGTCTGAATTAGCTTCATTTTCAGCGTCAACTCTCACGGAACGGTCTTCCCTGCCATCTTCCACAACTTCTAAGGCTAACAACAATGTTAGGGCTGCCAAACCACTGATTCACAAGATGGAGCCGGCTTATAAGCACTCTTTACCCGCCTACGTCTTGCTTAGCGACTCGACCGGACCGTTCTTTGACAGTCTTGCAGACCTCATCGAATATTATCAGGTAAACCGCTTGCGGATCTACAACCTGGACACGGCCCAACAGCCATTTATTCATTAATTTACTTTGCTCGTTATAGCCTTATTGTTCGAACCCCGACTACGTTTTTTTTATATTTAGTTTATCTAGAGAATTAGAGTCTTGGGTTGTGATATAAAAAGCATACCAATAGATTTCAAGCTTGTCTAGGTTGCTTAACAACAAATTTTGCCTGATGTGGTGTAATATAATTAAATGGGATTGAGATTGATTTCGTAAGAAAAACGAAAAAGGTTTTTCTACAATGCTAATGCATACAGTGTCTGATACTATTTTAAAGATCATCCATCTAATGCCATTCGCCATCGTTGCTTAATTTAAAATACCATCTCTTTCTTGATCCTGTTGGGTTCCGGTATCCAATTTTAGTATTTCTACATGACTACTTTCTTGGAACCCGAGCTCTTTACATAGTATCTTCTGGTTTTGATAGGGCTGTGAGCCTCGTTCTTTTTACTTCTGTACATCTGTATTTTGACAGTGTCTAACGGCTCATTTAATTTTCTTTTCTTTATCTAACATTCATCTACACTTTCGTTTTTGTATTAAATCCGGCTCATGCATTATTAGTATTATTAAAATCTGATGTTTTATTTGCCATACGATTTAGCTTGTTCCAATTTTTTAAATCAGAATACGTCCATGCGTCGATTATCTGAACCTCTGAGTTTCATTCGCCTGCAATACAATAATAAAGTTTTATCACACAGAGATGGAAAACCATTGTTTATAATGGAAGGTTGCTACCGATCGAAAATGATCATTAGTCAATACTAGTTTTACCTCGACATCGATTTGGTAATTCTGATACTCTGATTACGTTCGCTATCTTCTATGCTTGAATAAACTTCGGATTTATTGCAAATGAATTTGGCGCTTGCTCCGTATCAAATAGCATCATCAGAATTGAATTACTTTTCTAGCAAATTCTGTATTTTCTGCCCATTACTTTATTCCTGCATTTGGCTTTTAAGTGAATTTAAAAACATCCGTTTGGAACTTACTTAATCATTCTGTTGCCATTTGAAAAATATCTTTTAAATTTTGACGCCAAAGGTTTCTAGACAAAGATGAATTTCTGTGCCTATTTTTTATTTTCTTTCCGGTCCGTTTCATATTTGCCACGTATAAGCTCCTTAATGAAATAGATTTTCTTGGGTCCGCCTACTTTCTACGTCTACCTAAGCGCTCATAAACTTACTAGTCAATGAGCTCTTTTATTTATCTAACTGTTCTGTTTGGTAAAAGTGCTTTTATGATTCACCCTATCTACTGGCAAACATACAGTTAATCATCAGAGTTGCTAACTTGTAAGCCTAATAAATCTCTTTTCTCATAGTTAAACAGACCATTTCGATTCAGAGCGATGCGTCAATTAAGATGATTTCTCCTGAAATAGCATTCCTTCGCTCTGTACTGGCTCATATCTCTAGGACTCGAATTTGCCAAATAATTGTGTTGCCCATCAACTTAACAACCGAATCAAGACTTGCCTTGAGGTTCAAACTGGCTATCAGTTGTTATAAAGTTTTTAACCCATTGTAGAATAGCTCAAAACAATCTAGTTCCTGATAATTATTCTTCAAGCAACTGAGATGGCTTGTTAAGCCACAGAAGATCGCCTCAATAGGCTGAGATACTTTCTCCTTTCTATTAGTGAGTAATTCTTTCTCTTAAGCGGCTTTGTCTCATTAATCTTCTCTTGTTTATCCAAAATGTATGTTAATTTAACAACTTTATTATATATTCCGCTTAAGTATACCGAATTGGATCAAATATTTCAAAGCATTTTATTAAATCTTTTCGCTTTATAGACATTTGACCCCACCTTGCTTGAGCACCATTCTATGTCAGATTTTTCCCAGCCTACATCTCATAAAGTGGGACGAATTCCACTTATTCTCTAAAATCCTTAATTTAGGCTCATATCTGTTATTTCACTGTACGGTCATTATCAAGGCCGGACCTCTCATTTATTAGAACTTTATTGTAACATCGAATCAAGAAACTAATAGATCATATCTACATGTTATGTATACTCTAAAAAATTTTTTTAAAGAGATTCGGCGGCTATGAAGTAAAATATTCATGCAGACTTGTTGCCTTATATAAAATATTGATGTTATTAAGTAATTTAAACTGAGTTTTATCGAAGGAGGCTTTGAAGATCTATACAACGGGTAAATAGAAAATTGAAAAATGAATCCTCTTTTTTGACAAATCCCTAAGAAAATCACAGATCGCGATTTTATAAGGGTCAATGAGGGGGGGTTGCATTTTAAATTTAATATTAAAATAAGTATGAGACCCGAGATTCCCTTGCAGAGGACTAACGAAAATAGTTTAATATTGTCTATATTTAGTTTAAAATTCTTATTAATTTGCAAAATTACTAGATTGTAACATGACTTCAGGGTATACGAATTCAATTTGTAACTTAATTAACTATCAGAGCAATTATCGAGCTCTAGCACTCACTGTCGAGGAGCACTTGGAAATGATAGAAAAAACCTTAGTTGTAAGACTACTCAGTGGATCTAAAGATTAAGATGGTTTGGCCTTCTGCTTGTTTGCAGTCTCCTTTAGACTTATAGGGTTAATTTGACCTCGTTTTCGCAACTTGTTCGTAGCTTCAGAGATTCTCTACAGAATATAGCTAGTCTTGCCTCCTCTGCCATAGTATTTGTGATGTCCAGCGTCAAACCATTGACTTGGTACATTCCCAAATATTTCGCTGGCATTGTCAATGAGAGGTGCCATCATGAGAATAGAGTTACAAATTATGAAAATGACAAGTGAAGGCAATCGCCTTGATCACTTTTCTGTTCAACCGTTGTGGCATCACTTCTCGTCTCCATTTTTTGTTCTGCCTTCTAGTGCTGCATCTCTTTCTCTCAACTCCACTTCATATGGCCCATCCACTTATTCACACAATTCTGTGCTCTTGTTTCCTCCAATGTCGCCTAAGAGTGTCGCTACAAGTGGGTTTAGTTGAGAGAAAGAGCTGGCGCACTAAAAGAGGACAAAAAATAGGGATAATTAATGATTCCAGAATGTTTGAACAGAAGATTGGTCAATGATATCGCATTCATTTGCCACTTATAAGTTGTAACTCTGATAGTGATGGCATCTCTCGCTGATAATGTCGGCGTAATGAGTGGGAATGCATCAGGTCTTCGTTTAGGTGCTGTTAATCACGAATACTATGGCAGAGGGCACATCATTAGGTGCATTCCATAAAGTCTCCCTGATACTCCGAATAAATTGTGAAAACGAAGTCAAACCAAGACTTTAAGGCTTAATGAGACCAAACAGAACGCCAACCCATCTTTGTCTTTAGTAGAGAAGGAGGCTGGATTAGCCTCGAGCCTAGCTAATACTATCACACTTCCCAGGATATGAATATCACATACGCACAATAAGCAATATCGTTGGCTCAAACATAATTCAACATTATAGGATTGTACACTAGTTTATTTGTGTAAGGAAACAACCGCCACCGAACGCACTTCTGGTTCGTGAAGTAACTTCACTCATTTGCAAGAATGTCGAGTTAGGTTAAAGTGGCATCACTATCCATTTCGAAGGGAAAGTTTGTTGGAAGGAATTCGTGAGGTGATGTCACCGGAAACCGAAGGAGCATTGCCGCGTAGGGCAGACTGTTGAATTATACGAAGAAGTCCTCGGCTCACCGTCCTGCGACCCCGATGAAACTGTGCTAAGCTCTCGTCTGTACCACCGTGACAAACATCATTAGAGCAAGATTCCATACTTTAGGAAATAGAGCAAAAATATGCTAAACCATGGAAAAATATGGCCGGTTGGTTGGCTAT